TTCATCTTCATATACTTATGCACGGGGCCAGGGCAGAGCGCTGAGCCGGAGATGCGACTGTCAGCCCTGCCTGTCAGAAGCCAGCAAATAAGCAAACAAGCCAGGAAGCCGAAGAGTGCCAACAGTTGCGATTGGTCTTGGGATTGGGATGCGTCCGCACTTAGGCACAAAGCAATCTAACCAGATGAGCGGGATGAAATTTTAATTTAATGAATGAATACGAAAATGTTGTATTAGTTGATTAGCTGTGCGGCCAGAGAGTCGTAGAAAGAGAGTCCGTGGTAAGCTCATCCATAGCCGGCGTCCAGGCACCATCGAATAACTGGAATTTTCAATTATAAACCGTGCTGGAGGAAGTCTCCGGGTGGTCTCCGGGCAAGCAAACTTTTAAATTCCGTGTGCGGCTGACAATGTCATTCATCATAACACATTTAGCCGTGAGCTTATTTAATTCCACTTTTGTTCCCAAGCGCATTTACAAGTTTTCCGAGCTTGTTTTCCCCGCTCCACCGTTTCTCCTCCAATTCGATGTGCTTTTTTTATTGAAAGCGGAGCACAAAACAACCGCCCAACAACCAACTTTCTCCCAGCAAGCCACAGAACTTACGCATCCAGCATCCGTAACAAGTTCTACACACACTCGCCCACGAAAACACACACACACGTACTTACATATGTCACGGATAAAAACAATTTATCATTAAGCTTATCAAGACGAGCGGCCTAGCGTCCATTATTCTGCGGACGCAACGCAGAGAATTGTTTTTTGATGATAGCCCCAAGCCCCTTAGCCTCATAGCCCCCATTGCCCCCGCAGACCCTGTACTCGAGGAGCAGGGTAAGCAAAAAAAGCCAATGTCTGAGATATGATTATGGTTCTGTGCGTAGGTGATTTACAATCTATCACAGCTATAGGATTGGGGTTTCGAATTGCCCAGAATTATGAATGGATTCCAATCAAAATAAAATGCTCGCAGGAGTTCAATGTGCTTCATATTACTATGATGAGTGGGAAGAAGAGGAAGCCTGTATAGGCTCCTGGGCCTCTGAGAATAACTGTTCTTGCTGTTCATGCATGCTTTTAGATGGTTTGAAGCTTCCAAAGGATTAGAGTTTATGTGGGAGTATATGCTAAAATAAATTAATCTTACAATTTCATATATCTCTATGCATTGCGTAAATAACTAATGGCTGTCAACAGCCAAACGGCAAGTAAGTTCGGCGGACAAATATCAGGTACATATACGAGTATGGAGAAATAGGGAAAAAGAGAGAGACTTCAGGGCTGGGCCGCTCAACGTGTAACTAAAAACCAACAATTATGCATGCCAAAACCGCAGAAACCAATGCAACGCCCACAGCCCTAGCGACGTCAACACGGCAGCGACAGCGGATCGGAATTTGCATAACTTTGTATGAGACTCTCCAGCGCAGAGCGGCAACGGCGAGCCACAATATCGTTCCTACATGCATGCCGCTCACACACACATACGACTATACACCCATACCGACCCATCCTAGACAATGTCAGTGAGCCGTCAACATTTCAACTTGTCAGTGTGCACAGAGCAGTCAGTGCACAGCCACTGCAGTGCACTATGGGGAATTTGACCACCCTTTTGAGGCAAAAATTAGTAACTTCCACAGCATATAGCATTTTATAAATTTCGTTTTTTTGATGTTAGTGGAGAAAGTGAGAGGAAGGCATTTTGAAAACATGTAAAACAGAAAACGCCTTTTCTTCAGTATAAAATCACATTTTTCTTTTTCTTTTATTTTTAAATTGTTAAAAAAAAAACGAATAAGAACTTTTATACCCGGTACTCAGTCAGTATATCATTTTGTCTGGACGTTGATATGCAATGACTGCACCATCAAGTGGCCCATGCGACACCAAGCCAAAGCCTGTTACCAACCGACCGAGGGGCGCTGCCGCATGACGAGCGGCGCGATTAACCGAACCGGTCGCGAGCATGCAGGAAAGATAGATGTTAGGCTAATATTCGAGGAAAATTAGAGCTAAACACAACTAGACTAGAGCTACTATAGCTAAGCAAGCAAAAATTACCAAAATCAAAAACAAGACAAAACTAATATGAAACGGGAGAGGTACCATTTGTCATCTACATCATTTCTCCCGCCAACACGCCCTTTTAGCTCACCACCCTCCCCGGTGACGCGCATGAGGCAGAGTGTTTGATCGAGAAAAAATGACCAAAAAAAACAATCATAAGCAAAGCTGCTGGACGGGAACGGGAGTGGCCACTGAAAAATAATTTCTTCATTCTTTCTATAATAATAATACAATCCAATCACAATTCGGTGTCGAATAGTTATGGTCAAAGTCTTCAAACATACAAAAAAACTTCTAAAAAAAATTATCATTAAGACTCAATTCTATCAACAATAGGTGGTTTGGTTCGAAACCTGGTGTTATTCTTCTTCTTATATTGGTTAAGAAAATATTATTTGATCGACTTTTAAAAAATGAGTTCTGTTCAGAAAAAGTGGTAAAATTCCCCATAGTGCAGTTGCTGTGTCGCTCACACACAAAAACTCACACTGAAACGGTCGCAGAGAGGGAGAAGAGGCATGCTGAAAGTCGAAGACGTTGCCCCAGGCTGCAACATGGCCTACCTTCAATTTGTCGGTGCTCCGTGCTCTGAGCTCTGTGCCCTGTGCTCCGACATCGCCATCCGATAACCAAGGATGTGGGGCTGGGGTAGGGGTCGGGCACTATGCCACGGGTTTTGTTGCATACTCTGCTGGGTTGCTGGCAACGAACGTATTATTTCAGTTACGTTTTGCGGAAATGCAACTGAAAACTTGCAATTTGTTTGACGTTTTGGTATTTTTTCGTATGAATTTATAATGCCCTCGACTTCAACACCTGTCGTTTGCTGTTTGTTTGTTTTGCTGGGGTTTTGCTTCTTGGTTTCTGCTGATTTATAATGTAGACGGGATCCTACTCCGACTCGACCCTGCCAAGTGCTTTATTGATATATCAGCGGAATCATGATTAGGCAAAAGTCAGGAAATGCTCGCTTAGATATAGGAACTCTCTCTCTCACACATGCGTATTTATGTTATGCCGCCGCAGTAACACAGAAAAGGTAGCAACTTTTAATTGAAAAACTTGGGCACTTACAACTTGCGAGGCAACGAGGCAACGACTCAGCGACTCTCTCTCGCTCTCTTCATCCATTAGATTTTGCAAGCGCAGGTGTGGGCGGGGCGGCATTGCACCAAGCGGCAAGTGACAAGTGGCAATACCAGCATTGTCACCGGCATTACTCAAGTTGTTAGCCATGTTTGCAGACACAATAAGCAAATACGTAAAAGACAAGCGATACTGCTGACTGTTGTTCGCGGGCTGGCTTAGCAGACTTGAAGACGGTATCGTCCTGTTTGTTTCTCCGTTTATTTTTCCGCCAGCCGGTGGATAACTACAAGGCGCTAAGTAAAGTCTGGTAAAGTCAAGGTTTTCCATTTCCGCCAATGCAACGGCATTGGCAATGGCATTGTCAACGGCCGTAACAGCACAATTAAACTATCTGTGACCCTCGCCGTGCGCAAATTAAACTATCGAAACAAATGGTTTAAAATGCTTTACTTTTAATTAGTCGGCGAGGCGGATCGGCAGCGAATGCATAATTCAAATTATGATTTGGCTTTTCGGAACTAATCTGTTTTGGCCGAATCGTAATTGGCAGACGGAAATTTCATATGCAAATTGTATTAGGTGTCAGGGGAGAGCAGTCCAGTGGCCTGCAGTTCTGGGCCAACCATCCAACCACAGCGATTATCGAGTGCATAAGCGAACGGCAGCTAACGGCCCCGAAAGCCACATGGCCTGAGTCCCAGTTCCAGTTCCAGTATATCATACAAGCCTATTAATAGCCCCTGTCTGCGATCAGACAAGCAATTAAAATTGACTGCACTTTTGAGCGGATGCCGGGTCTGTGTCTGGGTTGAGTTTCAGGCCCCTCCTACCACCGCCCTTTCCACGGAGCCTTTTTCACGGAATTTTCATTGTTCAATTGGGAGTAAATGTGTTGTCGTCATCGCCACGTGCACGTGCTTCTGTTCCACTTACTTCCACGGCCAACCGGAAATTGTTTAGGACCTTGCTAGCGTCTGAAAAAGAGAAAATTTTCCCGGAAAATGCCTTGTAATTTGAGACAATGCGTGTCACGATAACTGGACAGGATATAATTGGATGGAGTAGGACAGAAATTTAATATGTTTCTTATGAAATATGAAATGATCTGGTGCATGTACAACAAGGATGCTGGACAAGTAGTTTGGATTGATGCATCCTGCATAAATCACAGTGGAACTTTTACTTGTTTTGTCAACTCCTTAGAGCTTTTGTTATTCGCTTGGAGCGGCGCTTTTACGTACCCAAAAATAAGCTTAAATATACGAGCTTTCAAAATAATAGAGTCCTTGTTCCAACATAAACTTAAAAGCACCTCCCTACAGATAAAAGCTTAAAACTTTGCTTGGTTCGAAACCCAAATAAGCTTTTATCTGGCAATCAAAAACGGATTTGGTATTTTATATTGTATTTAATGTAATTAAATCATTGCAATATAATATACATAATATGTAAATAAATAATGCAACTCCAAAGCATTAAAAAGTTAGCTTCATGCTTATTCGTACAATAAATCATTATAACTTTAGAGAACAATCGTCTGAATATTTCCTGACCTTATACATAGTAATAATTTAATTAATATCCTTGCACTTTGGCCCAACGCGAAAATTGTAAATATTTGCACTTTGTTATAATATAATATATTATAATGTAATATGTATACATATATATTTTGGTTGTTAAGGGTAATAGCCTAAAACATTCTTTAAGTATTAATAACTCGTATGTTAATTCATCTTCTTTTTTGACATTGATATTTATGCCATTGTTATGTTTCTCTTGTATAGCTACATATAAAGTTTGGTCTTTGTTTCATGGCGGGAATGAAACGCATATGTTTTGTTATTCCATTATCGATAATACTTTGATAAATGTTAATCCGCGAAATTTGTTGTTACTTAGGGTACTGGTACATTGAAACTCGAATTTGCTAAACTTCCTCCCGGAGCTGTTCCCGACCGGACGTCCATCCATCCATCGATCCATCCAGTCGAGAACAGATCTGTTAAATTCGGTTTAACGCTAAAAGTGTTTACATTTCAGTGAGTATTTTGCTTTCTGCAGTATAGTTAACTATAGTTGCGGCTAGGATAGCTTTGATCGGTGTACAAGTGTTACAGTAGAGTTTCTGCTAGTTGGTCAAGATTAACTCTCTAGATTCGGTGTGCTTCGGTTATAGTTTTTGGATGATATGCAATTGTCGGTGGAGTATCGAGAATTGTAGAATGTGGAGAGGAGTGTACAAATGACAGAACAGAACAATTTTCAAATATCCCAAAATTGCATCTTCAACACTAACAATAACAATTTAATAATTATTCGATATCAATTCATGTAAATTCAATTGGTTAAATCTAAAATTAAATTGGATAACACTTCGAGTCCCACAATTCCAAATACGTTTTAACATTATTGTCCTCTGCTTTTTTGGTTTTGTGTGCGTCAAGTAAATGTGCAATCAAAACCACCTCCATTACAATAACATTACAATTCAAATCGAAAGTGGTACAATTTATTGTGTAAAGGAAAATGAAAATGAAAATGGAAAAACGGAGCTTCAAGTGCACACGACACGGGCATTCAGGGGTTCACGGGACAAGGGTGCTCGGACAGAAGTGAATGGCATGCAATGTAATGCAGAACGTGAGTCAGTGATTAATTATGCATGGAATAGCTGAATACATACATATGTATAGTATGTATATGTTATACGCTCAGCTTGTTCATAGTACAATAACGAATGTAGCGAGTAAATGCTATATGCATTATTAATTAATAGATCAAACACACAATGCTGACTCTCTAATAGTATTTACACCATAATATCGAAATCACCCAAACGCTGTGTTTATAATTAAATACGGCGCCATGCATGGCCGCAAGTCCGTCCGGATCCCGCTTGGACCCCGCTCTTACTACTATCACACCGCTCTGGTGTCTACATCAGAGCGCAGCGGTTCCAGCGCGAGGTGGTGCGCACGCTCTCGCCCTCGTTGAGGGCCATCGTCTTGGACCGCATCAAGTTCAGGTCCGTGCGGATGCTGGGCCGGCGGGCGTTGGGAGTGACCACTCCGCAGGCGTCACTGAACCGCCGCTTGATCGAGAGGGCGTTCTTCTTGGTCCCGCCCACAGCGGATCCGTGCGGCGGCAGCGGCGAGGGCGCTCCGAAGACGGAGACCAGGCGTCGATGGTGGTTCGGGGTCATCTCCAGGGGAAGGTTGGAAACCATGAACAATGCATAGAAAAGGTCGTCGATGCGATAGTTCTGGCGCGCCGAGCACTCCACAAAGGTGCAGCAGTTGTCCTGTCCAGCGATGTAGCCCATCACCTCGTCCAGTTGCACGGTCCTGTAGGATACCGGAAACATTTGCACTATATGTATCATAGGTATCCTTTAAATATCTGTCAAACTCACTTGAAATCACGATCGCACTTGTTGCCCGCCAGTATCATGGGTATCTTCGGTAGACTCTTCTTCTTGAAGCCCGAGCCGGGGTTGAGGGCCGCCCACTTTGTCTCTAGGATGTTCTCGCGAAGTCGCACAACTTCTTCAAAGGACTCGCGGCTATCCATGCTGAAGACCAGTATGAAGAGATCTCCTGGAAGCGTAACCGAAGCCCATAAAAGGAACATTAATCGTCGTTAGCAAATGCAAATTTATTGCTTATTTACGGTCTCACAACTGTGACCTACGCACTCGCAATTTCCTAGACACTATATAAAGCGCTTCCAACAGCAGAAGCTCATCTCCGCTATGCTAATATATGTATGTGTTTATGAGGTCGGGAAGTGGGCTGGGAGTTGGGGTTGGTTGACTACTGGGACGGGTGAACGAAAGAGGACAAATCAATAGCTGAAAGCCACTGTACATCAATACCCTAAATTCGTAAGAAATAAAGGTTGGATTAAACCAAACAGTTTCGAAGATTATAAGCATCAGTGACCTAAAGTGTGTCTTCTTGCAATTGGGCTGCTAAATGAAAATGGCTTTCGCCTTCTTAAACGACATAATATGTACATCGGATATTGCAAAACCAATCAGATGTCAAAATTATCCTCTCAAAGGGTACACCAACAAACTTTTGCTTGGAAGCATGGCAGATGGGGCTGATTTTGATGAAAATTTATAGGACATTAAATAGCGCCCGTGGAAGGGAGTCGATGACTTAAGCGATGAAACGTGCGTCTCATACGATTGCGGTGAGACCTCACACACGTCCAGATCCATAGACATCATAGACACCCGATTATTGTGGCTTGTGGGTTTAGAGGAGGGAGGGGAGAACTCACCAGTTAGAAATGACAAACGACGCATTGCGGGAAACGGATGATAGCCAGAAGTATCCAAAATGTCCAATTGAAAGACCTCGTTTCGTATGCGATATAATTTGCGATGGAACTCCTCGATGGTCGGCGTGTATGCCTCCTCGAATCGATTGCCCAGGAAACGTGCCACAATCGAAGACTTGCCGGCACGTGATGAGCTGCAAAGCGACAGATTGGAATGAAAATTGGAAATTCGAAATTCGGAATTGAGTTGGAGGTTGAGATTGAGATGAAAGGGGACCCTGGACAGTGGTCCATTCTTATTATACACACCCGAGCATGACCAGTCGGTAGCAGTTCTTGGCTGAGGGGAGGCTATCATCGCATAGCGATAGGCCTGCACCGGGGCCGTAGATGAAATCATCCGCCTGCTCAATGGCATCCAGGTTGGAGTGATGCTCCAGCATGTGTGCCTGGTGCAGCTCGGCCGTGGTCACTATTCGGCTGCTGGTCACGGTTCCGTTACTGCCGCTTGCCGTATCATCCAGAAAGGTGACCACATGAGAGGCACCGCTTCCAGCTCCAGCTCCCGCTCCAGCCTGTGGTGACGTTGCCTCATCGGCGGTGGGTGTGGCTCTGTTTGGTGCTGCGATGGCGTTTGTCTGTTGATTGCTTTTGATCCTGCCACTGCCACTGCCGCTTCTGCTGTTGTTGTTGTAGCGTGCGTTCCCGATGCCGATGCCAAAGCTGTTAGTCGTGGCTGTGGCTGTGGCTGTGGCTGTGGCCGGGCTTGTGGCTGATGAGGATGGGGGTGCTGGCAATGTTCCTGGTTCGCTTATTGCAACATCAACGTAGTTGTTGTTGTTGCTGCGTGCACAAAACCAATTTTTGCAGCGGTACATGTTGACTGTATCATTTCCGCCACTTTAATGGACGTCGTCGGCTCCGTAGGTGGGTTAATTGGCTGCCTCGGTGGTGCGATGGTGCGATGATACGCTTTGCTTGGTTGTTGATTGCCTGTTTTTCAGCAGCTTCCGAAAGTCAGTTGCGGTTGCCACTGCCACTGCCACTGTCGTGCCTCTGTAAAATTTGCATTTTCAATCACTCAACTTTGCCGTCAACAGGCTGACATTTGCATATGTTGTACGTACTAGCCCTGAACGATTTATGCTGCTTTAATGCTGTAACTTAGCCCTTAGACCGCCCTGAGCTGGTTACAATGCATTAGCCACGCCTGCTCCTTCAGCTGCAAAAAGAGAGAAGGATGTAAAACGTAGAAATGCATTCAGCTCGTAAATATAAAAAGTTACGCCAGCTGCTTAAAAGGATGAAAAATGGATACATGGGGAAGAGTGAAGAACAGGGGAGCCAAACATTTCGGAGGCCATTAAGCACGGTAATTGCCTCAGGCCCATTCCAGGCGAATAAACCACATAAAATGCAAGGAAGGCAGGAAAAGTGCAGCAGTTGAAGCATTATCGACTAGGACATACCCGGCAGTCGGAAACCAAAACGGAATCATATGAAAATCTGGTCCCAAAAGAGGGCTAATGCCTAATCTCAAAAGAGCAATTTTCTAGAATTTTCTCATGGGAAAGGAAATGAAAAGCGTGAACAAAATATGTTTGGGAATCTCCTCTATAAATATTTCCCTCCGTTTTGACTCGAATGTATCTTGGCCTAAGGGTAGGCTCGGTAGAAAATCTTCTTTCATTTAGTTTAAATTCAATCTTAAATCCACTGAACAAGTTCTCCCTCCAACATATTTTTGCATATTCTCTTATTTATTATCTTATTAAAAATCCCAAATAGATACACTTGGATCATTAAAAGGATTGCTTCTTCTACCCGAGCCCCTTGTCGACCGATAATGGGCATCTTGCCGCAAATCTAATTAACTTTGTTTCAGCATGCTACGTGCTCCGTATACATCAGCCGGAACGGCAACATTGGCTTAACTCATGCATATCGCATGCAGCACAGCAGCCCGAGAGTGGAGCGGAGCGGAGGGAGGAACCCCGACAGTACGGCAATCAGGACGGAGACCGGAAAGTGCAGTTACCGCCGTTTCGGTGCTCGACACTCGCCATAATCGAGTGACCCAAGTGCTCGTACTCGTGTTCAGATTTCCGCTCATTTTCTTCATTTTCGTACACTCTCTTTTCGCGTTTAAGTGCCAGCTCACAGAAGGAATTGGAGTGGAAAATTTGATAGAAAAGAATTTACCGCATATTATTACGCACACAATGGGGGGCATCGGCGTCGCACATGAGCATAAGGCGACCGCCACCCATTCGGAGCCGAGTACAGGGTCCGAGCAAAAATCCGAGCACTGAGCATTTTGGTAACTGGGAATAAAGACCGGTTATCGCAACTACTGGTAGTTTTTCCATAATTGAATTTGGCTTTTTGTGCTTTCATTCGCCTCCGCTCAGTGTGGGAAAGCGCACAAATTACTTTTCGCCTTCGCAAGAATGGCAACTGAAAAGCCTTGACTTGAGACAATGGCGACATTTTCTGATAAAAGTGGCATGGGAAGTGGGTGCCGTGTGAATACGGGAATGCCACAATGAGAACATGGAATAATCAACTAAATGATGTCGGACTTTTGTTATTTGTTGTGCACCTATTACAGCGTAGGCTTTAGACATATATTTAAATGGCACCTCAAAAGACATATAATCTAAAAACATTCAATTTAAACGTGTTCTTACTATTATTAAGTTCACAAAAATGTTTCACAGTGCCACCGAGCTGTGATTAGATTATGACATTTTTTGACGAAAAACAAGCGGATATTGGAACTAAGGTTTCTTTGCTATTGACAGATTATGGCACTTATGGTGTAAGTTTGTCGTATGACAAGTGACACTTCACGCAGAGTCCATACACGTCCGTTGCAGTGCTACTCTGCTTACCCTGCACAGCCGCCTACCCCTGGACAAAACTATGCTCGTAAAAGTGCCTGCTGTTGCCGTTGCCTGCACTTTCATTCCGATTTCGCTCGCTATGAAAGTTTTCACAATATTTCATATTTGTTTACAATAAGCGCACATAAATGCGCAAGGTTGTCCCACGCCCACACTGGATTCCCCATTTGCGGCTGGGCTGCCATAAGTTGGCATGTGGCAAGCGGAACGAGATGCAATCGACACCTAATCTGGAGGGTACATCTGGAGAGACGCTGAGTGGCAGGGAGAAATCCGACAAGTTCAGTGAGAATCGTAATGAAATGGCTGTGGGACAGCGGGTCAGAGAACGGAGAACCGCAGCCAACGAGCATCAATTACCCGTGAACATTGAGTGATAATCGAAGTGGGGTTATCTCGTCCACCACCCGCGGCGAGCACAGAGAGCACGCCATCTCAGTCGCGATTCGGACAGCCCTCGGGTAGGACTGTTTTAAACTGGGTTAGACGTGGGGAATGGCAATGGGAATGGATCGAACTTCAAGTAGCAGTGTGGCAGAACTTGGCGCAGGAGACGTCGAGGGGGCCAAAGTGGCAGACCATCAAGAATACGCCGAAGTCCTGTCCGTTGCCAGCCGCCGTCGCAAGCGGAGGTGGAATATTCGCTCGTGGAGCACCCTGGATCTCTTGAGTGTGGCGGCTGTCGTCGTCGCCCTGCTGCTCATCTTAGGCGCCATTTACATGCACTTAAAACAGAGGCCCCATCTGGGGCGCTTGCACATCACTCGGAAGGAGAAGGGAAATGAGCTGGTGGACACAGAGGCATTGCCCATATCTCTGGATGTTGCAGCGGGCGTGGGTAAGTGGCGAGTGCTCCAAGCGCTCTTAATGAATTCTCGAACACTTTTCCTTATCAGATACTTTTGTGCGACGCTAGCAGCTGATCTCTCCGCTCAGAAATTATTGTGGCACTAGGAAAACAAATATTATTAATAAGTTTTTGCAGGTCAGACTATAGTCTGACTTCAGTAAAAGCCACAGCGGCAAATCTTGGAGCACATTCTGGTAGCTATTTCTTCCCGTTTTGAGAAATAAAGGCCAAAACCATGCTCATATATTCATTAGCTGACTGCCTTTAGTTACTGCTACCAAATCCAGCCAAGAGTATGTGGAGTCAATCGGTTTAATTAACTTGACTAATAGTTTCGCTTACTTCTAAACTGTGCATTTTTCAGCTGCACAGAGCATAACTACATTCCGGCCTTTGACTGTGGAGCCGAGCGAGGACTGCCTGCCATGCATCGCTGTCGCCGCCACGGACAATCAGCCAGTAACATGCGGGGGGAAGCCATGTGGCATCTATCGCATCTCGTGGCTGTACTGGATGGACGCTCAGGGGACTAGTGACCCGGACAACCCACTTACGCAGGGTAATGCAGACTCTCGTTTAACAAACTGCCGCAGACCACGCTCTAACCCGATGCTTTTCTGTTCCCAGCAGGCTACGAGGGATGCGTGCCCGTTGCCAGATGTGCCGAGGGGCTTGTCCGGAGTTATGTGAGGCGATTCGGCTATGACTGCGATGGAGACGGGCTGATTGGGTGTCGTGATCACGTAATGTTGCACCTGAACGGACCCACGGGTTGCCGCATGGGAAAGCCCCTTCCTGCTCTGGCCGAGCTTCGAATGAATAAGTGTTTAGCCAAAAAAGACCTTCAGTAGAATTGGCTTCACAAGTGTATTTATTAACGTGAATGGCGGGTGGGTGGAAGCATTCAGTTGTTTAGATGAGACCAGTTCAAGGGGTTCCATGTGCTCATTGTTGGTACATGGTCCATCTGTGGTCGCCAGTAAAGGGTTAGCATGAACAGAGCCCCGAATTCGTAGAACAAAAGAAGAGCCGCGTACTTGTCATCGGCGAGCTCGGCCTCGGTGATTCTGCCTCCCATGATGCACTGCACATGATACATTAGGAACTGCAAAAGACTCGTAAGTGTTCGTATGCAAGGGACAGGCGGAAGAATGACATATTTCTTACGGTCACCACCATAACGGCAAATAGGGTAGAGAATATGTAAAAAGACCAGTCCAGGCCGATGACTTGAAACAGCACAATGCAATACACGCTCAGCACAAAGACACTCATAAACAGAATTAAAAAGAAGATGCCACCCTCTGTAAGGTCACACTGCGTGAGAGGGAATGCGTCATAGCCCGGTTGCCATGGTTAAGAATGCCGCAACCTTTCTCTCACCGGCATAATGGCTGCCAGGAGCGTGAAAATGACGACTACCAGTGTGACGATCAGAAAGCCAGCCAGCAGGAACAGAAGATCCGTGCGGACGATTAGCAACGCCATTGGCTGGGCAAGAAACTCCACCTAGAGAAGAGACCCAGACAATTCGCTAGTATGTGCCCATGAAGCCAAGTACTCACAATAACCAGAGTCGTCAGCCAGTTCAAGAAGCACAGGCTCCTCATCTGTCGGCTCAGCGAGAATAGCAGAAATAGGAAAGTGCCCACCACAAATGCCAAAAGGAGGGCTGTAGAATGGTTGCGCACCAGCCAAACGGTCCAGGTGCTGTCAAGGGAATGGGAGCATTACAAACATGTAGATTTGTAATAGTTCACCTTACTCCAGTGCTGTTATCATGAGGACCCAGTGAAACAGACCTATCATCACAAAAAGCACAAACTGTAGGTAAACCTTGACAACGAATCGGCGGCGATGCTGAGGGTTGTTCGGTCGGAAGGGCCAAACGTGTTTTCCCGTTTGAAACATGGCGACCAATAAATTTATTAACATAAAATGCCAGAGCTACTGGCGCACGTCGAGACGAGTATGAGCAGAAACAAAATGAACGCTGCCCAGATTCCATTTCCGATTCCTCCCGGCGCTAATTGCACATCAAAATGGGCCCCCAGAAAGCGAAAAGTTTGCTCAGCAAATTGGAACACACAATGCTCTCGACTCGACGTACATAATTGAACTGAACAAAAGTTTATAATCTGGAAGCATCGCCCAAAAATTGAACAACAAGTCTCAAGTGTGTAATAATTAAAAGTTTTCGCAAATGTAGCAGACAAACAATGAGAGCATAGGACCAAAGTTTTCACAAGTTTTAAATCATTTAGTAGCAGAACGGACCAGGTCTGTGTCGGACTAATTGCTGCCATGTCACATTAATTTGTAGAAAACTTGTCACTGCATCTGGCCTACAGTGTGTACGCGCACTTCATTTCAATACAACTTAGTCTGACTGGCGTTATGTTATTATACCCGGTACTCGAAGAGTAATTAGATTATTAGATTTGTGGTCGAACCAATGATCGTAACGCACAGAAGGAAACATTTCCGACCGTATAAAGTAAATATATATTTTTGATCAGAATCAATCCATATTTAGCACAGCCGGTCAGTCCGTCCTACTGTCATTTAGTCGTTTGAATATGATACGAGAAAATGGTAATGGGCAATTTGCGTTTTCGTGTAAGAAATGGTGTAGATGACAGATTTAAAAGAAATGTAAGATATAAAATTCGAAAAAGTCATAAGGTTACATACATACATACATACTACGTACATATGAAAGTATACACTGACTGAACCCGTCTCACAACGTTCCTTCTCGTTTCGTATGTGGCGATTACAGCGAAAGATGGAAAAATAAATTGCCACCAATTAATCCTCTTCGCTTGTTTTCCGATATTAAACAAATGTGAAGACTCGAGAACCCTAATCGCCCATGACTTTGGTGGAGAGTAAACAAACGAAGTGGAATGGGGCATATTAAAAATGTACACTACATACATTTTTAGTGCATCTGTTCAATGACCTGCAAGCGTTCATAATCACAGCGGAGTGTCAATTTGAAACGCTTCAAGACGACATCACCGATGATTCAGGAAAAATTTTTTTTTTTTAATATTAAACTATTTAATAAAATAAGAGATACGTGTTTTAATTTCGTCTAAATTGTTAATTTGTATCGGTCAGAGATATCAATGGACAACATTTATCAGAAACTCAGGTTATACTATTGTTACTAACTCTCTCTGAAATCTGAGCTTGAATTGGTTGCCGCGAAAACCACTTCCACATTTGTCCCGTTTGAATGGCATTGATTTCAGCATAACGCTTTAGGTAATTCGTTGTTAGGAAAATTCGTTTAGAAAATAAGTACTGCTTGCCCATTTGAAGTCAGAGAAATTCCCATATGCATGCCAGCAAGAAAAAACACGCCCACTTTTATTTAGTTGCGAACAGAAAGGCTTCCTAAACGCAGCTTGGGTTGAGCTTAGTTTGTACTCACTTTTAACTCTGATATAAAGAGTACAGGGTATCAATTATAGACTAGTTCCATGAAAGTGTTTTCTAGGGTGTCTTAAGGTCGTACTTTCGCACTCGCAATCACTGGCTAGGCGGGGAGCCCTAATCATTCTATTGCATGCCTAGTGTATATAACGTTATTCAATCAAATGTGCAAATAGCGCATAATGCAAACAGAAATAGTCCAAATGAGCAGACAAAATGGGGACAGCGGGATAGAGACAGTCGGATAAGCCGTGACTCAGTCTTTGCGCACTTTGCGTTCATTATGGTTCTTCGCTGGCTGGGGCTGACATGCAAGGCGTACATATTTTATTTATTGGAGATATCGAGCGCATCAGATAAACATTGCTTGATTGTTTGTGTGATTGGTGGGCTGAACGTCTGAGTTGAGGGCGGAAGTTGCCACTGCCAAGGACAAAGAGTTTCATTTAAAAACAATTATGTATTCTGTTGAGCAGCTCGGACAGCATCAACCAACGCAGATGCTCGTTGATACTCGCATTTTTTCTTTTCACTGCACCGTGTCAAAGGTGTCGGCTCAGGTGTGGCACCGGGTGGGCAGGGGTAGCTCGAAATTGATTGCTTTATTGCATCAGACAAGTAGGGTGGCGAGGAAAAGGGAGCTGTGCAACATTAATGGAACGCAGTGCAAGTTTTGATAAGAATTTTTTGTGCACACGAAAAGTTTTGTCTGGGAACTTTTTCAGCTGGATTTCGGACTAGTTAAGCTCTGCCCGGTGTCGTCTGTCGTCTATCGTATGTATGTCTCTGTTTCTACCTCTGTCCGGGTCTCTGTATACTCTCCGCCTGCCTATCCTAGTGTGCTTCATGAGTATCCAGATCAGGGAGACTGCTCTACCTCCTCAGCATGTTTGCATTGCCAATGATGCCAGACAGCGGGGCGGAGGTAAAGTCAAATGAAAATGTCAAAAAGAGCAGCATACTTGGCTGCCTTGCTAACAGCATTTACTAAATTAAATTTACATGCCAGAGTCAGAGTTAGCTTCAGTGCCTGGAAAACGGAAAATAAAGACGAAGGAAAAGGCATTGGGAAAGGGTTCAGTTTTGAAAGGGTTCTCTGTTCTCCATTGCCTCGAGTCCCCCAGCAATCAAAAGTATGCCACATAATTAAGTGTACATCAGAGATTAGCCACCGCATTCAACAGAATCGAGGGCGGGCCCTGTCCCGCAGGGCCACTGTCCTCGCAGTTCATGGCAGGCAAACGCAGACACTGGGACTGGCACTGGGACTGAGCTCCCTTTGTGCGCATACTTAAATAGACATTGGCAGCGACATGACCTACAACTGTTCCAGCAAATCGCTTTAATGTCTCTGTTATGGCTGCCGGCTAAAAGCCGAGGCGCTTCATTAATTTTATTGCCGACCTAGCGCTCCGCCTTGGCTCAGCCTTTTCTCAGCTTTCGTTGTCTCTGCTTTGAAGTTTCTTTGGTTGCGGAAAAAGTTTTGATTGTCTAGCCACACACTCACATGCCACAAACACGCTCCGCATGCCACAGCCTCTTGTGAGTACGAAGCCATGCGTGTGTGTCTGCCCACTCAAGTGGTTAAACGTAAAAGTTTTTTAATTAGAGTTGTTTGTGGACAGCGCATTGTGCAAACAATTCTCTTTCGATCATCTTGGGCGAATAGTTCCGCAGGAATAATGCACCCTCACCCGCGGCCGACCAGCAGGCATTTCACGGCGGAGGAGCGAAGCAGCCATTAAAGCTCGCGAGCCAAATAAAATTCATGAGCCTTTGTAATAAAAGTGTCACAGCGATGCAGGATACAAAAGACAGACAACAACCAAGCGGACACTGATGGAGCCTGATGTAGGTGGCTGCTACAGGGGCAGAGAAGCCCTCCCCAGCTGTCAGCGCCATCGCCATCGCCATCTCCATCGCCAGCGCTGACAATGACAATGGCTCACCCTCCAGATAGGGCGCATAAATTTGGATGGCAGCTTTTGTGAGTGGGTCCAAGGCACAAACGAAATTCAAATTCAAATTTTCCCAGCCGTTTGCATTTATTTAATTTTACTATTATCAGAATAAAAAGGCTTTGCGCTTGATTAGAGCTCGTCGCTCGCCTAAATGTGTTTTCACAAATTAAATGAAAATCAAATGACGCCTACCCGGCGTAAACCTCCATTGGCACGACATGCAAATCTAATTTGAGTTTGCCCCACACAAACAGCTCCTCATCTTTTTATATTAATGAAAATGAAAATGTTCTGTGTCCTGTGTCCTGTGTTCTAGGGGTGTCCAAACACCACACACCATCAGCCCCAACACTTTCCGGCACCGCCATTTGCACGCTTCCCCAGGCCGTCAAATATCCACAGGATGTGTCTGTTGTTTCGCTCTCGCCCGTCTGTCAATGCGATTTTGTCAACGCAATCACCCGGAGCAGCATCGAAGCACCGCCAAAATATTGTACATTTTCCTGTTATTTTTTTGCCAATTTTGTGGTTGATGCTCTTTTGCTTGCGCCCACCCGCTCACTTTCCAAATATTCAGGCTCAAACATTCGCCACTCAATATACCGTTGGCATTATACAATAGGAGGATGGCCGACCATATCGCTGCTTTGCGTATCAATGAAGAAATCGCCTTTATTGCCATTTTTCAATGTGCACCACGTGGCGTTTTCGCATTATGGCGCAGAGCTGTTTACAGTGGGAAGAGTCTTTATCGTTTCGCACATCAAGTCTAACCAGATTGCTCCTTAGCACATATTGCGGATAACGCAATCTTTGTTTTACATATTTATTCGAAAACAATAAAATGAAGAAAGAAAATCATTCACATCAATCCAGTGGTCAAACCTCAAGCAATTTCAGCACCTCTGTGCTACGATTTGAAATAGGATAGATGTTTGTAATATGATTTTTATTAGAAACAAGAATTTGAATGAAAGAACATACATATGTAATCATCCTTTGGGAGCTTTGCGTGAAGTCGTGCATATAGTCAAAGTCTTATGAGTCAAAGCGATGTGCTGCGATCATGTACGAACACCATATGGTTGTGTTGAATTTATTATCAGGGTATTTTCATATCTGATCATTTACTCAAAAGCTGAACCTTTATCCACTGTGCGCCATTAGAGACAAACAATGTTGTTGCCTCTCGCACACGACCAAAGCCAGAGCCAGAGCCATGAGCCATGTCCAGGCTACTGCTCTGCTGTCACTTTTTCATATTTTGGTCAGTTCACATTCATGTTGTATACATTAATTATGGCTATTTACTCTGGAATGACCATTTCAGCGCTGGCCACTCTCAATTATGTGCACGAAATTGCTTATTATTGGATGCATAAACACACGCATGAGAGTGTATATTTGTCCACATAAAAAGTATACGCAGGGGAGTGAAGACGGGTATAAGGCCGAAAGCAGCAGGTTAAATGACCGCATTTATTCCAGGTCTAAAAGCCCAGCCAACAACAGTGGAAACGGAAACAACATTTTGGTAAACAAAAATACATCTTGTTTACACAGCGAGCAGTCCTACGAGTAGTCCAATGGTTGTGGCTTTCATACCCTTACCGAAGGTTATTACAAAATATGCGACATGTTTCCAACGACCAGAAGAGAGATATACCACGGTAAAACGCACGACAACAAGTTAGATTGATGTAGATCGGTTAAAGAAAAAGTTGTCAGGGAGTTCTTGGCAAACATGTATGTACATATATGAATCCTAAGTTAGATACGAAAAGACTATCAAACAAAACTATAGAGCAGCTTATACAGCTTGTCGAAATCCAAGGGTATATCAAATTCTCAGCAAAGGAGCTGTCCTTCTTTTTGTTTTTTTACTTTTGTGCTACTTTGGCAGTTGTTGTCATTTCTATATGGTCCAGAATGATGGATGTTATTATAATGTCGACGAGTCGGCTTAGCAGGCGCCCGACATCCTGAGTGGTCACACTCACACAGCAGCACCTGTCCCAAAACTTGCAACAACCGAGCCGGAGTGGGTCGACCGTGCCCCCAATCCCGGAGAACAGTCCGTGGTCAATTCATAAGCTGCTTAAAAATTATAACAATTTAATATGAACTAAGGCCAGCTGCTGGGACACTGCTCTTTTCACGAGCTACTGCTGCGAGTGTTTACCCACTAAAAGTATTTTTTAAATCTTCCTTCCCCTGGTAATTATACTAATTGGTAGCCCGTTGTGGTGGGGCCAACTCTAGCTGGACTCGGAGCATAATGCGATAATTTATATTCCACGCTGGGGAGTCCTTTGTGGCAGATGCTAGATGAGTTGTGGCGGACAGTCGCTAAAACCCTCGCAAAAGGCGTACATGAAATTTATAAAACAACGACAGGGATAGGGATAATCTTGGTACTAAAGCATTGATCAAGCATGGATATTATATAATTACGTATGTTGAATCGAATCTGAAACACTGGATGCTTTGGGAAATATAACAAACTGTGCGCAACCATTTTTCGATAGGCAATCCCGGCACGTCCTTGGCCTCGTGGTACCATATTTTCGACACTCGCATCAGGCTAAACACAAAAGAAACGCTACACGCGAGACACTTGTTGCTATTGTCAGGCCCATTTACAGACATATCGTCCTCGCAAAACTCACTTCACGGTCGAAGTTATTCGGAAGCATTCGGCTTCCATCTGGCGCTTTAAAGAGAACCCTCTAAAATCATTGAGCCGGCTACATAAATTCCATAAAAAAGGCGACGCATCCGCAACCACTTTTAGAATGTTGCCATCTCAAATGGTTTACTGCGCCAACACATGCCGACCCACCGGGATTCGGGAATGGCGGTGTCAGATCTGAAACATCCTGTTTTAATGGATTTTCCGAAGTGATAGATTGCTTGATTTTAGAGGGAATGGATGTAGAATCAATGTGATATATGATGTGTACTCTTATTATTTGATTTAATCGGATAACAGTGAGCAACGTACAGCTTAAAGAGTTGAAGAAGATTTCATAGCTATCCGTTAACCTATTTCCCTTTCTATCAATATAAGCTAAATTACAATGAAAGCCCCAAATCAGAATCAGATAAAGCCATCAAAATACTCCAGCATTTATCATTCTGCGATTTGTCTTTAATGTGACTGGGAAAATCCTGCGATGTGCCAGCTTTATAACTATACAGAAAGGGAACAGGGTGACTACATATGCCCGCTTCAGTGCTCATAAGGTCCAAGGTCCAAGTCAGGAGAGTAAAGGCATTGGGACAGCTGTATCTGTGGGTCTGTGAAAAGGCAGGCCATAAATTCGTTCCAGTAAACATTTTTGAATTGTTGAAAAGATTTGTAGGAAAAGAAGGCACGAAACACATAGCATAAACATAAAGAATGTGTATGGGTCTGTATTTATAAAGCTGCTCCAAAGTTTGGGCAAAGTGCTAAAAGATGTGTGAAAGGCTGCAAAAGGCTGCGACGGAAGTGAAGGCTGTCTCAGAGTAAAAGGTTAAGCCAGCTCCTCAAATTACTTTCGGGCGTGGGCGCAGCTGTTGATGGTTCCTGGATCTAACCTACCAAATTTCTTCTAATTTGGATTTGCTTGATGGGGTGCGGTGGCGGCATTCGTGATTTGTGAGATGTTTAAGGCGGTGAGGGGCACTGGCACTGCGACGGCCCTAGGGCTGTTCTTCGACTACAAAGCATGCTTCGCTTTTAGTCCTCAATTAGCAGAGAGAGTTACGTTTAGTGCTCCTTCTGGGGAGCTCCTTCTATCCTACTGCTTGAACTTCTCGCTCTCTAATTCATTAATGGCTAATGTCATATGCTGCCTGCCGTCAAATGACATTGAAAAGTTGCCTAGGATGTACATCTAAACGCTAGTGCCAGTGCCAGTGCCAGTACCAGCTACAGTGCCTCTGCCTGTTTCTGCGTCAAGTTCGTGTGAGAGTCAGTGTGTTCTGCCTAATGGCCCGACTGCCTTTTCTCACTTGTTCGGCTGTAGAAGAGTGTGCTTGCAAAAATGAAAACAATTTAGATAAGAAATATGCAAAGAATGTAAAATGCTGCGTCCTCGTGTGGGTTCTGTTTGCTTTCATATAAATATTTCTCCTGTGCATGTAAAATTCCCTCAGTTTACCGTTTGTCGTGCAACAACTTAATCAGCAAAGATTTACGACTAACTTGGCAGCAGCTCGGGGCATTACTTAGCATACAGCAGGCACAGGAAGAGCAACAGCAACAGCAACTGGAACAACATAAGGAACAGCGGTAAACAGCAACAAGAGCTGCAACATCAGCAAGACTCATGACAGCCGTTTAAAATTCAAGTAGCAACTATAAAAGAACAGCCATTCCAGGGGATGTGGATGAGCGGAAGACAAAAGCCGAAACAGTAATGCACTCGAGTGCTGGACCATAAAGTATTCGGACTGCTGCCTAGCAGGATAAAACTCCCAGCAGCCTTTCATGGGGCGGGCAGTCGGACAGCTGGAGTACCACAGTCTTGAAAGTAAATGTATAGCTCCGTCCCGCAGGTGTACGAAGGCGGGGCCCAGCTGCCAAACTGCCAACCTGCCAGCCCGTCAGCAAAGCAAATACACAACAGCCATAAAATCAAATAAAACGAAATAAAATGAAATAGTCCCCAAATTACATTAGAGAAAATAACAAAATCTATTGGCGCCTCGATAACAATGTCCTCCCACATTGGTTTCTTTCTGAGAGGGTGAGGTTTTCCGAGATACACGGGCAGGACAAATTCTAGCTCACCTGTAAGAACATCAACGAAATTTGTTGTCCTTTGCAATTATTATGTGTTCTTTTATCACTTTGCTTTGTGGTGCGCTCACTTCCGCTGCTTACACTGCTGGAAATACCTGCAAGTAAATAGTCGCACGAGCACATGGACACCGGGACAGGGAATCCGGGTGTACAGACGCGAACAAGCACGAGACAGCGGAGTGTCGTTGTCCTATAGGATTTTCCGCGTAGTGTGTTTCGCGTAAAGTAACACACTTTATGAATGAATAGAATGATGACAAATTTGTCAAATGTTTTCCCGTTTGTTACTTGGATCGCTTGCCGCCCAACCGTCCAGCTCGGAAGCCGACGAATGTTTATCCTGAACCTCAGCCAGCACATTACTCTTGCAGCACACGAACTCCTGAGACCTGCGCAATGAGCACTCCCTAACAGTGACCTAACAGGGCCAGAGAGAGTTTCTGATGTGGACTCTGCGTAGGGATTGGCCTGGCTATGTAGGTTGACAAGAAGTTAAATAAACAAAACAAAAGTCAAGCTGTATCATAAATATAATGAAAAGTTTGCGCCGGCAACAAGCGTGGTGTTCCCTTTCCCACATTGCCATAGCAGGATACTTTATACTTCATCCAACTTGAATGTCAACACCAGCCCGCTCTCAAGTCTTACACTCATTCACACGCTGACTCGCTCGCTGGCTCACTCACTCACACTCGTGTGTACACATAATTAAGAAATCGTGCTTACTCTCAAGGCACTTTGATTCAAATGCCGGAGGAAGTCGGAGGAATTTTGAAATGTCTTTGGCATGGCAAATAAGCTGTTGACTTTGCAATCATTTCAGCATGTTCATCAAGTCATTTATTGAGTGGGAGAGACTGATTAGGTCGTTGCGCTCTTGCTGTCCTGCTTACCTGGACGATGCTCGACCGACTGCAATTACGAGTATGAGAATAAAGCAGAGCAGAACCATTCAATGCCCTGAATGGTTAATTGCTTCCGTCCCGAGCCGAGCTTAACTGCAGCAACGGAGCCCGCAACGCCACCATCAGACAACGGTTGTCTGTATTCTGCGGTATGTCCTCACGGATCACCATGGTCCCAATGACCACTTTTGGTGGCCAAAACCGATTTTTAAAAGTTAAAACCAAAACGCGGTTTTTGGCGCTCTGTATTAAAAAAAGATTGACCATTAAAGCCGCGTACTAGACATTTTCATAGATGGTGCCACCTTCGAAAAATCTGCTGTGAAACCTAGCGGTCATTATTGCACAGCATGTGCAGTGAAAAAGTACCAATTTTATTGCTGTTTCAAAATATCTCATAAATTGAAAGATACGATTAACTCATCCAGTTTTTTGAATGCATTTTATTTAGTATGGATTTTACGACGTGTTTTGTAATCTGAACGGTATCTAGTAGTTGGCGATGTCTTCGTAATTGTATGTCAAAATGAGGCCTTCAACAGCCTTTTTAATAGAGTGCCACCTAGTCCCACCTTAAAACCTATTCTGTGTCGTAGACCAATAAATGATTGTTAAAATGTCTATAGTCAGAAAAGCCACATTTGACCACAACTCTTACAATTTGCAGTTATGAGAAATTTCAATGTTTTTTTGCCGTTTGGAACACAATGAAGAAGAAAACTGTGAAGTAGGGTACCATTTTGCATTGCATTTAAGCCACAGTATTAGTCACTAGCTATTTTGGAGGGCTAGAGTGTAGCCATTGTAATATTGTTTTATAATGGAAACTCCTATGGAGAATGCTTTGTGGGACAAAGAATTCGATTATCTTGGATTTTTAAGCTGTTTTGGTGCTACGACTTTTTATTATAGAATCTTGCACTGCCATACATATTCCCATCCTTTTCTTGCTACTAACATTTTGAGAACAAAAAAATAAAAACCGATTTTCCCTTAAAAAAAGGAGCTGCCACGACCATTTTTTCAAAAAACCTTCTTTTTCCTATTCGTAAGACTAAATACAAAAATCTTGGTTCGTTCGCGAGTTATTATTTAAGGACAACTAAAGTGGTAATTGGGACCATAGTGCGGCTCTCCATTCACTATTGAGGGTGAGTGCGTGCTTTGAGTTGTGTGAGTCCCCCCCGCTGTGTGGCAATTGCCTCTGCCGCTCAGGTGAGGAAATTAAAAGTTAACTGCCTAAAGAGAGATTAGGCTGAGTGTGCTCATCTCATCAGCATGTGCTCAGATGAGACAAAACACGCCATCATTACGATTCGTAAATACCCTCGAAAAGGAATATGCTTTCAGTGAACAAATAGAATGTCTTATATCCACTATAAGTTGGAAATTCTCTAAATGCATTAAGAGGAAGTAGAACGAGAAGGGACGTGTGAGACGCTTCTTACGCAAGACAACAACTCTTACAACTTTTATACCCGGCAGTCAGTACTACATCTGTACCTTAGCGGTTATTTGTCAAATTTTACATTTTTTCTTTATCTGTCAACTACATCTACAACACTTCTCACGCCAAAACGCTCCTTTAGGTCGCACCCTTCCCTAGATCCAAATGCTGCAGAGTCCTGGCAGAGGCAGAGACGAGGCAGAGGCAGCTGCCGCACACTGCGCGAAGCAGAGTGTGAATGAGAGAGTGTGCAAAAAACAAATATAAGCTGCGGGACGGGGTGGTATAGCCACTGCAAATGAATTTCTTCATTCTGGCTATAATAATGGTCCAATCAGATACCAATCTTCAAAGTTATAGACTTCGAAAGTTTTCGCCCTTTTCCGGGGGCGGGGCTCAGTTTTGAAATACACTTGTAACATGTGAGCATACAGAAGTCTGGATGCAAATTTTGGTGACTCTAGCTTTTACAGTCTCTGATATCCAGGCGCTCATAAGGACGGACGGGCGTATAGACAGACATGGCTCAATCGACTCGGCGATTGATGCTGATCAAGAATATATATACTTTATGGGGTCGGAAACGCTTCCTTCTGTGCGTTACATACAACCGTTATTCCCCACAAATACAATATACCCTATTTACTCTACTAGTACCGGGTATAAAAAGTGAGTGAGTTTCGTTTAAAAGTCGCAAATAGCAGACAACGGGAAGTTATGGGGTCACTTATAGGCATTTTTCTGCACCTGGAGTCGGCATTTATGAAATTGCTCGAGCTACTGAGAGCTTCGATGGTAAAATAAAAATTATATTAAACTATTTTGTTTTTAAAACAAGAATATTTATTAAGTTGAACAATATTTGTCCTTGCTCAAAGTGTAATTACAGCAGAGTCGATGCAAAAGTATCTGCAGAATGTGCGGAGGCATCTCTGGAATTGTCAGCTAACTGGCTCGGAGCGCTGTATGTCTGTCAGTCAGGCACGCTTCGCTGGGCAGGCGGATAGCGAGGACAAGCTTATCACAGTTGCTGCCGCGTGCTTGAGGAATCAGATTTGCTTCCAATAAGTAAGAAATAACCAGCCGAGTGTTGTCCTGGGTGAAGTGGAAATGGTATACCTGGACGCCCATAGAGTCAAGTATCAAGCGTGTTGTCAGTCTCGGAGTGTGTGTGGAGCCAGAGGCACGACATCGTATTGCAAGTCAGTCAATGAATGCGATTGTTGTGTTCTGTGTAAAGTGTTGAATGGGCTCACACAGAAGGACTGACAGGCAGAGATGTTCACAAGACTACCGTTACCGAGAGTGGCATTCAATTGCCGAGCAGAATAGACAAGTGAATCAACAGCCGTGCGAGCAAATAAACAGGGGAGAACTCGTACAGAGTAACGACCACAAGCCCGACTTGATAGGATCACTTGACAAGTCAATGAAACGCGCCCTGAATGAAAGACCCACACAAAACTGCAGTTCCTCTCTTTGTTGAGAGATGACAATGGCAAACCAAAGCGATCCGCTTGCATATTCACTTGATTCACAGGATGGAACGGAGTGCATGTGGGTGTCCCAGCCCAGTTCCCTGGACAGAGACAGGAACAGGCGTAGATAGGACAGGCCCATGTTATGTCCGTAAAACGTTTTGTAATCCCATTAATGGGCCCTGCAACAGTTAATGGGCAAGTGTATTCATAATCCCCCGCCAATTTCGAATTCATTAAAAGCCAATAAAAGTGAAAATTATAACGCAGGTTCGCTCTGCCCTTCCTGAACAGGTGAATCGAGGGGGAGGAGCCCACTTCATTAATGGCATGGCAGAAGACTGCGTGGGAAGCGCAACTCTGAAAGCGAGTAATGAAAGCTAATGAAATAACAATTAATTGAAAAAAGAATGAACGTGCATACTAAGAGCCGGGCATCATCAGCCAGGCCAATGGAATAGTCGACGCTGGAGCTACACCGAGGGCCAAACACAATTTGTTTTAATTAATTGTAGCCACAACCGCAGCTGGCCTACGTTCAAGCTGGTTCGGCCTAGCAGCTTCCCCTATTTAGACGAATTACCAGCAGTTCAGCAAGGGCTTTGGCAGGAACTTAATGTCTGACTTGGCAGCCAAATCCCTGAGTAGGACAAGGAGGGAAGGAGCGAAGGAGCCCGAAGGCTCGGGCTCCAATCAAGCGTGAAATGATTGGCAGACCTCTCTCTGGACGGAGGAGCTGCAGCCCATCAAATATTCACATATGTCGCAGAGCCAAACTATTAGCGTATGGCTATCGATTAAATTTTGCCAGAATGCCCGGTGCCCTCAGCCGGCAGTCCACCAGAGCGTGACAACCACACGATTTGTGGACGTACAAGTAAATGGTACCATAACCAATATTTCTGGCAGCTACTTTCCATTTCGAGGCTCAAGTCTCGGGCCCTGAGATATGGTTTGACATTTAAATATGCGAAGGGGTACAGCAGAGCATAATCGATTGGTGTTTTGTCGCTGTGCCCCAACAGTAATGTGCAGTACGAGGCATCAGCCAGTCGACTCCTCCCAGACTCGACACACTGCCGAAAAGTGTCTTGCGGCAACAGAAAGTTGAACAGAAAAGTTTGGCAAGCTAAGTTGCGCTTATGCTTATGTTTGGGCGAGTATGTAAATGCTGCCGGGAGGCACTGTATCAGTGTCATTGAGGGGTTGAGTGTCTATCTGTCAGTGGGTGTGTGCGTGTGTTTGTGTTAGTGTGTGAACCACAACATGTGTCGTCGGGCGTGAACAAAAGTGCTAAGAAAATTACATTTTACCCACATGTACGGAAGGTTGGGAGGAGGGTAGGCAGGGATAGGAGAGGCCGAATGGGATGCCTCAAGCAGCGACCCGGCCTAATGCCTTAATACACTTAAATTTTCTGTAAATCAGAGGGCTTTCAACTAATTTCCAGGTAGTAACCAGCAACCACAAAGCCTCCGGCAATCGACTTAGCCAAGTCTTAAGAATCACAAGTTACTTGATCCACAGCCCCGTAAACAGCCCAACACACAAGCCTCAGCTTTAGCAGAGTTCTCTTACGTACTCGTAAGGTTACACTGCGTTAGTGTTTTTTTAATGGAAATTTTAAAAAGTAAGCCACCAAGCGTATCCTCTGCCACATGTGTGCGAGCACTTGTACATATGGATATGAATGGATGCGGTTCCCCGTTCCCAGCTCCCAGCTCCCTGTTCCGAGTACCCAGCTTCAGTTACAGTACCCACACCAAGTTTCTTCCCTGTCTCGTGGGTGCCTTGGCTCACTCTCACTCCATGGCAGGTCCTTATGCAAAATTTACATCAACAACAATCGCACTAAACTTTTTTCGCCATATTCCCGTACCCGTAGCTGTATATGTTACACTTTTGTGCCATTTTCATCATAGAAAGAATGCAAAGCAAAAGCGGAGTAAAAATGCGCCAATATACGAGTATAGGCACGGCTCGTAGCGGAAAAAATGCAATTTGTGTGTGCACTTTTTAACGTAGTTTCTACGAGCTCACTCACCCGAGTCCTGGGTGTAAGGATACGAATTCTACCAAACAAATATTTACGTACGGAATTGGGGCAGCCGGAGTCGGCTGTAGAGCCTAGCAGAAGTCCGAAACGACCGGAGTGTAGCGCCACGGGGACACAACTGAGGTGCCGAGCCTGAAGTGGTTCCATTAAACGGAGTCCTCAGAGAGGATTTGCCTGTTAGCTAACAGAGGGTACATGTAGCTGTTAGCTAACAGGGGGTTAATGTTACAAAGAGGTCTAATAATATATTAATGAAACCTAAATTACAGCGATGTGTTTTCAAGAATCATAATTCATGCATAGTCAATTATTCTTGGAGCTTTTATTCTAGTTTTGGAAGTAATTACTTTTCAATTAAAGACACATTTTCAATGCTGTAAAATGAATGAAATTACAAAAAAAAAAAATTAATAAAGGCCGACCGCAATCAAATTGTCACAATTGATGAGAGAAATATTTCTCAGTTATCAAGTGTTCGCCCGAGTGCCCCGACAAATGTGTTCCAATTAATTGGAACTTTAAACAAATGACCACGAAGAACCAACCCCATGGAAAAAGAGGCTCAGCGGAAGAATGAGGGTCGAGGCCGCTCTTCAGGTTGGGGCAGGGCTGGGCAATGGGTCTCTTTAATTGTATGAGTACTTCATCGCATGTCAAATGCATATTTTACCATTAAGCTCCGCAGCTGATGTCCTTGCGCTGGGCGGGTTCTTATTGTTGGCCGCTACTTGGCGCAGTTTTCGAAAACGGATTCCGGAAACCCGGAAGACCCGATGCGGATGGAAGTGCACGGGGAGTGTCTATTGAGAAGTGGACGTGGACAGGCAAACCCACGAAGCGCGGTGCCATCTTCACGTTCACATGTTGATGGGCCCGCACTCTGGCACACAGCTTTTTGTCGCCACTCCACTCTAGAATTTGATGTTTTTTCACGCTAGTTGGCCCCCAGCACCCCCTTGATGTCCCCTCTTTCGTCTTGACTATTGATTTTTACTTGGGAATAAATTGGTTTCGTTTGTCCGTTCTGTGTAGTTGTTGGCATTGGCATTGACATTGGCACGCCCCACACCATTATCTCGAAATCCAGTGCTGGCGAGATATCCCACTCTTTGTGTTTGTCCAAAAGTTTTCCTTTGCAATTATTGTTTGAAATAATTTTTCATTTTGTCGACTGTGCACTGCCCCTCCTTTAACTCTGACACACCATCCGACTGACCATCGCAAATGGCCGGAACGGAACTATTGTTATTAATACCGTCAGCGAGCGTCTTTCCCCATTCACGTCTTTCCTCTTTCTTTGGAAAGAGGAGTGCGAAAAAAATTGCACACTGAATGAAAAGTGAGCCGGACGAAAAGGCTATTAAAGTCTAGGGCCCCAGAAGTATTTTTAAAGAAATTTCACTTCCAGGCAAACATTATTAATAAAATCGTACGAGCAGTGCTTAGGCAGTGCACGTTCTCAGTTTTGTCTTAATTGAAATGGTAGTCGCTCCGGATAGTGCCACTTGTCTGGGGCCACTCAGGATCCGCTCCTTGTCACTTTCGAGCACTCGCTCGCATATTTTGGCATATACTTACGTGACACATGCCGTGACCATGTTCCGAGGCCCGCAAACAAAGTAATTTTTTCCCACTTTCCCACTTTGTTCGCCGGTGGTTCGGGGCGGCTTAAGTATGGACATGTAGCTATTGGACCCGTTCCCGGCAAATAGAAAGGTAGCCCGAACACTACGTAAATATATTTACATTCTATCTGTCCACCCTGGGCGTGGGGAGTGAGACTCGGGATTGGGGCCACGCAGGGAGCTGAATGCGCTACAGTTGGTTGAATTATGGGCAAATAAACGACGAGCGGAGAAGCTAATTTTGTGCATAGTTTATACGCTCTATAAAAATAAATTGCAGGGGTACTGAGCTTAGGGTTATTGCCCCATTTATTTGATGCTGTTATATATGGCTCTTATCCTGGAGAAGGGCACAGGGCTATCGAGACATGTTCTTGAAAGGCTTTGTGGATTTTGTGTGGTGGGATTCCAGCCGATTTGGTATTAAATAAGGCACAAAATGAGGTCGCCATTGGTTTTCACAGAAGAAAGGGTTTCAGTTCAGCTATTTTTTATTTGTACACAAGTCAAAATCCCTGCAAAATCATAATACTCCTCTCCAAAGGGTGTGCAAAAAGGGAGCCCGTTTTACAACGCATTTAAAATTAGATTTTAAACAAAATGATAAATAAAAGTTTTTGATTACACAGCAGCATTGTGTTGTCGTCAGCAACCCGAAGCCTGAAGCACCTGTGTTAAGTGGCGAGCGCAGAGGCTACAAGGATCCACTGTACCCACACCACAGTCCGGGAATCACAGCCCGTACGGAAGAACGAGGTTTTCTGTGGCAATGAAAATTTACATTAATTTTGGTAGAGACCAATATGAAAGCCCAAAATGGAGGAATATGTGTTGTACCCGTATCTTCAATAGCACCTTCCACATTGCTCCAACTATCTCTCCGTATCTCCGAAATCATTTTAATTAACTACTCATGTTCGGAGATGAGCGTACCTAATTGATATGGGGAGGACTGGGAGCAGTCTACATCCTGAGTGGCCCCGAATCCACGCACACTTCAATGGAGCTTTGTGCGTATTAGATGGAAGTTCTTTGTCAGGGTCTTCTGCCGAGTGTGTGTGGTGCCTCTAAATGTCTTAATGAATTTCCATTTCCAGCAGGCTCTCATGGAATTCCCGGCAAGGAAATCACAGTAGAAGGAGATATTAACATGCCTCATGTCAAACGGTAATGGGAAGCCAGCTACGCTACCATATTTTGTCCCCTGCACACTGCAACCATCCTCTAATTCTAGGTCTTCAGATTGGTAGGGCTTGCGTTTGGTTATACATATGTACATCCATGGGTATATGTTCTCTATGGGTACTTTCGTTTGCCTTTGAGCTCGGAAAATTGTGTGAATGTGCGGTGACAGCTGAGCAGAGAGTGGCGGAAATCTCAGCTCATCCGCTGTAAACATAAATGTTGGTTTATTTCCGACACGGGGGAAGAAGATTGATTGCGAAGGCGCTGATGCTTGTCAGAAACAAGTGTTCTACCGCTGCTTCATATGTCTTCAGAATTCCAGTGTATAAGTTCAACTCCATCGGATGTCTATCTGAAACGCACCTCAATCGTACAACTCTGATCAAATTTTTGTAATATTGAAAAAGAAATTCGGACTAGAGTTGAGCCACTGTACCAGCGTGCTTGGCTTCATTGGCATCCAAAGTAGTGCTCATATAAAATATTCAATATCAACCACAAGCCACACAGTGATGGGCTTTGTCTGCTGTCTTGGGCTTTTATAAGCCCACTAATTAGGTTTCGCCTCGACGCGAATTGGATTGGCTGCGAATCATGGAAATTAACACCAGCTGATGCTTATCGTGGCAGCTTACGCTCGTATAAACGTTGGTTTACTTTGATGGAATGGGATATGTGGCGGGGTGAATAGGTTATCCGGGAGACACTTAGGCAAACTTAAGACTACGGAGAGAGACCAGATCTAGATCTGCTGGGCACGAACAGCGCGATCGGCTAGCTCCTCGGGCGTGGGATGCTCCTGAATGAAGCGGATGGACTGTAGGATGGCCTCTGGGATAGGTGGAGGGGTGGGCAGCAGCTCCGACTGAGGGCGGAAGCCGTTCTCGTCGGCCTCATAGGTAACCTGGACGGGAATACCTTCGGGCGAGATGTAGGAGTATGAGCCGCGGGCTCCCACTCCGCCCAGGCCCTGTTCTCCAAAGGCAATGCCACTGGCCTGCTCCACACTGTAGCCGTATGTTCCATCCGTGTCCGCGTTGGACAGGAACTTCGTAATAGTATCATCGTTGATGGGGGCGGCCAGGGCGCATCCCACAAGTGCGGCAAGGAGCAGCTGTTGGCGAGGAAGCAAGGAAGTCAATTAAATCGTTCCCCATTCGGATGCAGTCTCTGTTATCCACTTACGAGCTTGTACATGGTGCTGCTGGGCTGGGGACTCTGACGTTACTACTGTGCCACTCGACCGTCCGTTTACTATTTATAACGCTCGGATAGACGAAGCAACTCCCCTGTCATTGCCCCTGTAGTCTCCAAATCCGAGCATTTAAATAAGCCGAGCTGCAGACTCTAACCCATATTTTAGCAATCAAACAGCTTTCGGCAACACGCTTTCATTCATTAATGGAAGCCCCGCGGGAAGGTATTGCGAATACTGTACACTCTTTGTGCGTTTAACCATTGAAAAGTATCAAACATAATACAATTATTGCAGACAGAATTACAAAGTTTGTTTCTAGTAAGGGAGCTTTTCTAGCCCTTTGGTTTCTATTAAAATTAAACAATTATATCTATAAGCGACATATAATCATAAGCAAGCTGGGTCGGTATCTTAGCTTCCGGATAAGTGGCATGCCCTGATATACACCGTAAGGGTAAGATGGAGCAGATGAAACAACCTAAATGCATCAAAACCAAACTTAAAATCAAATCTTTTGAACGGAAAAAAACAACAATCCGTATCGATATTATCGACAACAAGCGGAGACATTAACAATAGCAATAGCAACAATTTCTTAATTTAATCAACACAAAAACAAAATTTAAATTGCAACATTTCTCGAAGCAGTATGAGATGCGCAGCGCCATGATTTGCATAATACTGATTTGATATACAATACAATGGGAGTAACAAAGAAAAGCGCGCATTTATGAACTTTAAGTTTAATTTCCCTTACATTTTGTTTGGAGCGAAGCCCACTTAAAGGGCAACCTCAAAGAGAGACTCGAACCGAGATGCATGCTGGTTGGCAGCTGGGACCCGAGCAACTGGAAGCTAAGGGCTCGGCCATATGCTTTGGTAGACGATGGCACTGGAGCTGGATCTGATGCTGTAGTAGAGGCATTCATAGTATAAACAACAATATTAAATTGTATTTTTCTTTTATTACATTATTATTATCTCTGGCAATAAATGTCAACGTCAGCCGAGCCGACAATGGACACGCAGCCAAGCGGCCCAGGAGCATGTTGATGTTGATGTGGATGTATGTGAGGGGTCTATTCTACGAGCATGTACATTTATACAATGTGTGTGAGTGTGTGTGTGAGTGGGGAGAGAGGATGTAGTTCAGCTGGTGTTCACTCTGGTACTGAGGATGGTGCTGGTGTTGGTATTGGCTGCTGGTGCTGTTTTCTGGATGCTTTGACTATGCAAACAGACATGACATGACAGTGTCACACACTCTCCCACTAGCTGGGGGCGGGAATAACTTAAACCTTCCTCTCATAGGGTAGACCAGAGGCTGCTGCTGGCGCAGAGGCCGGAGCGAGCAGAGAGCCCACTGGCAGCTGCTGTGACTGTCCCTGTCCCTGTTGCAGATATTGTTTGCCCTGCTCTGCACCATGACCATGGCCGTGACCGTGGTGGTCGTGCTGGTCGTGGTGCTCGTACTCCTCGTTCTCCTCTGGGTGGTTGCGGATCCACTCCAGCGACTTGAGAATGGCCTCCGGGATGGGTGGCGGTGTAGGCAGATGCTCACCCTGAGGCTGGAAGCCATTCTCGTCGGCCGTGTATGTCAGCTGGATAAGCTGGCCCTCGGGGCTGTAGTACTGGGAGGAGCCGGAGGCGTAGTAGCCGCCTACTCCCTGCTCCTGCTGCGCAATGCCGTTGGTCGTCTCGAACTGGTAGTTGTAGCTGCCGTCCTCCTGCTTCAGCTCGTTGACAAAGCTGCGGATCTCAGCGTGGGCATCTGCCGAGTCCGAGGGAAGCGCCAGCACTCCGGCCATTAGAACGGATGCGGCAGCAACAAGTACAGCAACGTGCTGCAAGAGGTTATAAGTGGAGAATGATGATGGTTTAGGTGTGCTCCGGGCAAAGGATGTTTCCTTGACTTACGATCTTTGACATTTTCGCCTGGCTTAGGTTGAGATTTGGTTTATGGTCTATTGCTGTTTTAACCCTAAGAGCTGAGCTGTGTTTGATGCCTCAGTGCCCTCGACATGCCACTTATATAGCCTGGAAATCTTAAATCTGAAATCTGATTGGATATGCAACGAAAGTGAGGAAAGTGAGTGTGTGCACCCATTAGATATGATGTGCTGATGATGATGATGATGGGGTTCCATCAACACATCACCCTGCCATACACTCTATCGCCACATTTGGAGTTTGTAGCCGAAAGCCAGCAACGGTTGCAACGCCAATTATCTCTGCTCGGATCGGCTCTAGGTGGATGGGCTCGGGCAATCAACAACCATTTCCATTAATGCCTCGCCGAGTGAAAACGAAACCTCAACAACGAAACTCTGACCTGTCCAGATGAACCGTCCTCTGGTCCACTGCGGTTCAAGAAACTCTTTCGACTGCTCTCCGCTGCAGGCTCTTGAGTAATTAAGTGTTTGAGTTAATTCATTAATTATCTATGAATAACTACGCCGCTTCTGCATGTATCAGTATCTGTTTCTGGCACATATAACACAAGCTGCGGGGTATACGCAATTTGTAATGCGTTCCGCGATTCCCATAAATGTATTATGCTGCAGAGCGTGGCACAATATGAGAAGGTCGAGATAAGTGGCCGCAATAATGAGATATGGACTCCCCACCCATTCTGTGAGTGGGTTAGTGCGTCAGGCGTGAAATGTCTGCTGGAACATACACATAACTTCACTCAATGAATTGCTTGCTAATTTACAACCGACTGCAGAGAGATGCTAATCGACGGGGAGTCGAGCCCAGTCCAGTCCCGCCCGCAGCTTCACTTCACTCAAATTCGAGTTCATTGAACAGGTACAGACAAATCACATTTCAATTTCAGTTTAAGTTCGTGGAAATTCCATGCGAATTCGGCCACTCTGATATGTAGGTCAGAAAATCCTATTTTGGGAAAAAGGAGTTACGCGGGGACCAAGCCAGGGAGACTACTTCGCTGCAAGCTACTTTCAAAATAAGAAACCGACTTTACTGCTTCTTTTAAATAGAATAAAATATAATAGCCTCGAATGAATGTATCTGTCATAATGTTATTCGATCAGCCAGCAATAAAACTTGAGTTTTTGATCTTAGACTAAATGCAAATCCGAATGATGCGCCCATTAAACATAATTTGTCAAAACGCTGCTTTGAATTCCTCAAAGCTTTGCTTGCGTTGCCCACGAGTGAAATCAATTATCTTTAACACGTCTTCGCAAATTTGGGCAACCAAATGAATGGCCAAACCATTCCAACTAATCCTGATTGGGCGGAGGGGCAGGACGGTCTTGAAACATGCAAATTGAATCAAGTTTTGATTAAAAATCCATCAGCGGCGAATATTGTTCCAACCAGAAATAATGCGCGTGCACGCGGGAGTACATATATTAAATGATGGAAGCGAAACAATTGAGTTATTCAATAAAGCCCTGTGCTAATTGAAATTGGGACTGCAATTGGCATTGCGGGTGGGTGTTAAAATCCCCGGATAGATAGACGACGACTTGCGGCACCGAACCGAATCGAAATGAAAGTTGCAACTACTGGTACAGGCAATTATTGAAAGCACATTTCGTCTCAATCAATCGAAGGTCGTTGCCGAAAGATTTTCGAAAGTCGTTGACTTTGTTTCGTCGGCTATCAATAAAAACCCCCAAGGGACCGACCTTCCACGCCCAACGCCAACGCCAACGCCAAACGCCGAGATTAAGCACCAAGCGCAAGCCCAAAGCGCTCTGGCGTTGGACCAGAGATCTGAAACTGTTACATCGGGAGCTGCCTAGATGGGAATACGAGATGAGACGTGTTTGTATGAGACGAAATGCCTAAAACTAATGAATGGAGCTGCATAAATAGCCCATAAAGGTGGCCAGCAAGTCTGCGGTCGCCGTTGAATGGAAATCAACTTTTTTGTCAGCGGAAAAAGTGCGAGTTGCCTCTCAATATGTTGACAATATTTTAATTCATTTGCTAAATGTCTAAACTAAAACTCAAATGCCAATACAGCTACCCTGCCCCAATCTGTGGCGGCTGTGAAGCTCGTCTCTGCCTGGTGGTCGTATAATAAATACTTTTCAAGACCTGAAGCAGATTCGCCTGGCTGACCTTCATCGGGACTTAACTGGACTGGAAGGCAATTGTCGCTACCACCGAATGTGGGTCAATTAATGTAGAGCAGGTGATGTCCAAAGATTCGGCTCGTCGCTTCCTTTTCAGCGCACTCTTCAGCATTTACTCTTTTTCGCTGTCGCAGTTCCTAGTCCCACAGGTTAATGCGCGTAAATATGGAGTGATGCCCTAATGGATGCAAGAGGCGGATGGCCTGAGGAAGGTCGAGCGGCAGAGTCAGAGAAAGAGGCAGAGACAGAGTCAGTCGGTTTACTAAGTACAGCGGAAGCGGCTTAAGGCGCAAGGAAATGCCATCGAAACGCAACAACTTTTGCTTTCATTTAAAGCCGCCCAAGCGGCAGGCACCGGACAATTGTGCCGGGCGACTCAAAAAAAAAGAAACCGAATTGCCGCACAGCCGGTTTCGAGCATAAAAGCCAAAAGCAACACCGAAAGGGCCAACAAAAACAGAGAGCAGAAAAAAACAGATAATTCCGATGCTCCTGCTGCTGCTGATGCTGCTGATGTCGATGCCGCCAGCACATTCACTTTTCTCCAGGCCCTGTCCCTGTCCCAGTCCCAATGCCAGTTTCATTTCCAGTCTCAACTTCAATCTGAGTATGAGTCTTAGTCCGTCCAGAGGCGGTTTGTTGCCAACCAACCCATGTATTTGTAAAATGCGAACACAAATCTTATAAGCGAAACAGCATGCGCTGTCGATGATTTTGTGTCTGCTTTTTGGGGGCACTACTTAGTGATGGGGAAACGCCATCGAGGCTGACTAGGCACACACGTCCACGTGTAGGCCAACGTCCACAGAAAAGACGAAGCAGGACCTTTAATGTGAGCTTAAGAAGGCAATTTGATCTGATGCATAACAAATGGATCATTCATTTCACAAAACTCTGAGCTTAATTGAGTTTATTGTGCTTAATGGAGTGAGGAAATGTTACCTTGTAATAAGAATAAGATTAGTCTTCAATAAAGAAGACAACATACACACACAACATTTGTGAACCAAACTTTACTATGATTGTAAGTTTGGTCAAAGAAGGAGTCAAGCTGACGGTTATTCAAACCTCCTTCGAAACTGGTACTCTTATACTAAAATGTATGTTAAGGATTTAAGGGGTTTTAAGAGCACATCGCAGAAAGAGGCAGACAAAGGATAGGTTTTCAGATAAAACCTTTATGGCTTTAAGTGCATATTTGTTACCTCTGATTCGTGCTATTATTGAGTGATAAGCTACGTGAGCCACGTGAAGCACGCCCACGATGCCACATCCCGATTATTCCTATCAAAACTTAATACAAACTTGGCCCCAAACTTCCCTCGCCGGAAACACTGCCTCACTTTCGGACATCAGCCAATGCTCCAATGCCGGCCATGGCAAGGTCGTTCGTCTGCTGCAAAGTTGTGGTTGTGGCGAGGAAGGTTATGGCTGAGGGGACCTCTGGCTGCGCTTCTTCTTCGTGGCTTCCCTTATTCAGATTTGGGGTGCCGGGGCCCTGGATGATTTTGTAATAAATGAATGAGTTGACCTAGCATGTGAGAATCTTAATCGATTTACGCGATTCCACAAACGATTTATTATAAAGTTTCGCATATGATTTTACAAAAATGTTTTGTGGGTTTCCGTTTCCATACAGCATTATAAATGATCGGTTCCTGAAACTAGACAGATGGGACATTTCTTTAAGGACTAAACCTTATTCAATCTCCTGGCTACTTTCAAAAAATTGTCTGCTTACGCACGAAAGCATTTTAAATCTGCCAGTAGGGGCAAGACCAATGTCGAAATGCAGTATTTGGCCAATTGCACTATAAATCGTGCTAAATACTCCACAAACGCCAACTATTCAATACTCAATATTCGAGGAGGTGCTAATGAAAAGTTATCCCCTACACAGCACAGCCGCATACACAGAACTCGGAATTGATTAACCGGCCAAAAATTGACAGCAGCTGAGACCAAAGGAAGCAACGAAATTTATGATCGCTCTGCCGAAAACCAATCACCAAAAAAAATATGTAGCGACGGAAGAGAAGAGTCGGACCTGGGCTGGGTCTTGGTGTTGGTAGGGTCGGGTTTGGTTGTGAGGGCAGTTCATGTTCAATGCTGAAAATTATAAAAGTTGTTGTTGCCGTGCGTCGCCGAGTTGAGGTGCGCTGTGGAATGAAATGATTGGCGTGCCAAAATGCTATAAATGCGCCGCCAGACCAATTCAGTCACATTCATTCTCGTTGCGAGTTCCAAGTGACAACAAGTCGGCCAGTCCAATCCCACCACATCCAAAATGAACAAGTTCGTAAGTGGAGTGCCCTAGTGGAGGAGTTTCGGGTGCCATTCTTACCACCTCTTTTCCAATCAGCTCATCTTAGCAGTCGCCTCTCTTGCCATTGCCTGCGTCCAAGCACGTCCGGATGCATATGACGCTGCAGCCGAGACCCGGGAGTACAAGAGCGACTTGAAGGAGGACGGTACTTACAGCTACCAGTACCAGACCTCCAACGGCATTGCCGGCCAGGAGTCGGGAGTGGGCGGATACTATGCCAGCGGCTCTACAGCGTACTACGCCCCCGACGGCCAGCTAGTCCAGCTGACGTACACTGCCGATGAGAACGGCTACCACCCCGTCGGTGCCCATCTGCCCACGCCGCCACCAATCCCCGCTGCCATCCTCAAGTCCCTGGAATACATTCGCACGCATCCCCACCAGGAGCAGCGTCAGGGTCAGGGTCAGGGACGGTTCTAAGTGTCGGTTGGAACGGAGAGTGCGAGCGAGAAATTGTTGTACTATGTACTTTATTCGAGTTAGTTCTAGGCCATTTGAAAATAAATATCGCTACAGATACAAAACACTTTCAAAAAAAATGT